ATATTTAGCTCCGAATCGAGAGCAGAACAATTGCTAAGCTCAGACCCGGGCCCGAACTTAGCATCACAGCTGGTTTGGTTATTTATTTATCTTTAATTCGCTTGTCTAACGTTATTGATCACTTATATTGAGTTTATCCACATATCCTAAAAGCGCATATAAATTCAATTGTTATCCATTTTTAAGGGTAAACAAAATTCTTGAAGGAGGGGAAGATTGAATATTTAGTGGGACCAAAATGACTAAACTAGAAAACAAGAACCGATCGAGTGATTAATAGGTTTATTATTGTCATTCTTCTTGAAATAATTTGGCTCTGAAGTGCAATATTATAAAATACGGCTAAACCCAGTTAAAGTATCAAGATCAAACTGCAATCTTATATTAGATCAAACTGCAATCTTATATTAGGTTCGTGGCCTGATAAAGGATGTGTTTGGTGGGTTAGAGTCTTGTGTATGCTTAATTTTTTATTAAGACTGCAAATTCCTTTTGGAGTAAAGAGTATATTAATGTGAGAACTTTTCTAAGTTTTATGTCTGTTAAAGAAAATTATTTTGCATTTGTACTATGCTTATTTTTGTAGCTATTAGCTCAGAAAAATATAACATGTGTGTCCCCTTATGTAATTACAATGAAAAATCTTACTATCATTTATGCATTGATTCTCTGTATGGCTCTTGGAATTTATTCTTGATAATTTAATTTCCTTATTGCTTTTGCAGGAGAAAAGATTTAAAGAAGTTCCGAGAAAGTGAAATAATATTGAAATTTGAGCCAAATTCAAAAGTAAAAGATGACATGAAAGAAGATGATATGTGTATCTCACTGCGGATCTCCGATGTATCAAATGTGTATCCCTTGTGTATTCCATGTATGTCCACGTGTTACACACTGAGATGTATGAGATACATATGCCGTAAAGAAATTTTTAAATTCAAATTCAACAATGAATTTCGACCCCAAACCAGTCTATAGCACCTCCAATTTTTTTCAAACTTTGCATATTTCCTCATCTATGTGTTTTAAACGAAATCGAAGTATACCCATTGAGAAAAAAAAAATTATATAGGTTTTCTAAATGTTGTGTATCATTAGCAACGAATTTTGATTCCAACACAGTAATCACACCTTATTTATGTATTTTCGATAACTTCCAACCGTACCTATTAAAAAATAATTTTTTGACTAAATTTTTGAATTTTGTATATCATTAATAATTTTTTATTGGGAGGTAAATTAATATGAATTGTGAAACGTGGAAAATGATGCTTCTCCAATTTACTACTGAAGCCAAAACCAAATGCTAGAGCTAACTCCAATGAAAATGCATCCCATGCCATACGACTAGGTGGAGTGGCCACTACTTAGAAGTTTTAGGCTTCCATGGCTTTTTACAATATTGAAATTAAGAAAGTGTCTTTTTAGATCTCTTATATGTAAAAGACAAATTTTTTATGCGTAAAACTAGATTTCTCATATGTAAAAGAAAAATGGGGTCACAAAAATAGAAACACGTTTGCAATGGGCCACAAAACCAGTTGACCCTCTCTCTCTCTCTCGATAAAAGTTATATGAACTTCTTTCTTTTCTGCTCTAATTTAAGAGCACTCAATACATATAATCATGGGATTTTTACCTAACTATACTATATTAGAAATTTGTTCTCTATGTTTTATAGTTTTTAATAAGTATCTAATTTTTTCTGACAAAGTGTATATATTGCTCCTTAAAAGAGAAGCTCATTATTAGTGCCTTCAATTAAGGGATTCAGTTACATCTTTTTTTTTTTTCCCTCTCCTCTTCTCTCTCCTTTTTTTAAACATCAATATCCCTTATTCTAGGGCGAAATTCAAAAATAGCCAGATTTACCACTGGTCGTTGAAAAATAGCCAAGTTTCAAAAGTCATCGAAATTTAGCCACTTTAAATCTGAGCGAAAACACTGTTCAAAATCCGGAAAAATACGCCGGCAAATTTTACGGGAGTTCCAGCATAAGTATGCTTGAACTCCCGTGAACTCCCGTAAATTTTACGGGAGTTCCAGGATAACTATGCTGGAACTCCCGCAAATTTTACGGGAGTTCCAGCAAGTATAATTGTCCAGTATAATATACTGGAGTTTGGAGCACTGGTGCTCCANCAGGTCATTTGGACGTGGTTTGGTTGGGTTTTTGATCAAAAGCGGAATGCGGAAGAATTTAGAACCTTAGGCTTGAATTCAATGAGTTTTGGTGATTTTGATGTCGTTTGAGGTGTTTTGAAGATTGGTACAAGTTTGAATAAGGTTATGGGATATGTTTGTGCTTTTGGTTGAGGTCCCGGGAGCCTCGGGGTGATTTCGGATGGTTGACGGGGAGTTTAAAGATTTATTGCAGCTGCAGATTGTGCTGCTTCTGGTATTTCCACACCTGCGGATAGGGGATGTCACGACCCAAACCCCGATCCGGTACTGATGGTGCCTCTCGTGAAGCAAGGCCAGCCAACCAACCCATATCGCCTTTTCAAAATAGTTAAACATGAATAAGCAGTCTAAATATGATTTAATAATATTAATTAGCAGAAGTACAACCCAACACAGCCCTAATCGGGGTGTCACAAGTCACGAGCATCTATAAGAGTGTAAATACAACTACAAGGTCTAAAAATACACTGAATAGGAATAATGAACAGAGAGAGAAGCGGTGCTGCGAATGCTGGCAGTCACCTCGCTAAACTCCTATGGCTCTGCCTCCAATCAGCCAAAACCCGCTACCGGGTGAATAAATACCTGCATCTGCATACGAGGTGCAGGGAGTAATGTGAGTACTCCAACCCAGTAAGTAATAAGAGTAAATAAATACTGTGCAGTGGGAAACAATGAATCCACGTTCGCGTTAGGATCAATAAACACAACAGGCTTTCAAATCATAATACGAGTCAACATTCCCTTTTAAAACCCAACTTTTAGTAAAAATCATTTTTTTGAAATGCTTCCAGCAGTTTCAGTAGGGGTTCAATACCATTTAAAATAATAATAGAGATTAAAGCAATAATCGGCCCCTTGGGTAAAGCATAGTTCGTAAAACAGCCCCTTGGGCAAAACAGTAATCATAAATACTTCATAACTTGAAAATCTCGGTGGAAATAACCAAATGCCAAATCAGTGATTAATTTCTGAACATCTCATAGCCCCAGTTTAAATAAAAGTTGTTTTAAAACATTTGTTCAACTTTCCGACAGAGGCTCAATATAAAGATGAGTGAAAACAGTCAATCAATCAACGTATTCGATAGAAACTCACTTTAAAGAGAAGTGAAATCAATAAGTTCATAAACAGACCTCTCAGGCAAACATCACTCATATGCATGTCTATATCTATCGCCCCTCGGGCTAGCCTCTCTGTCACTCGTGACTCAACTCTTACCAATCAGTGCTCACATAAATGACATGACGGACCAATTCCAAATTTCAGAATCGAAATTCGACCCCAATATAAATAAAGTCATTTCNACAGGAGTTAGCAAAGTATACTGGTCCAGCATAATATGCTGGAGTTCGTACACAAATGCACCAGAACTCCCGTATATTATACTGGACCGGTCCCTGTTGCAGCAAAATAGTGGCTATTTTTCATTGACTTGATAAACGCTGGCTATTTTTCATTGACCGGTGTGAAAACTGGCTATACCATGATATTTTAACCTTATTCTACGGTCAGAATCTCCATATTCTCTCTTCCCACCATTGCTGACAGCTTTATATTATTAAAAAATCGTCAATTGCATCGTTCTTTTGATGGGAGACTGGACAACATTAAAAATAAAGAAATATTTAGAAATTGTATGATAACTGTATCATAATTGTATTTGAATGTAGGGAGAATTATTGAAAATGGTGGTGGGTGTCGTGTAACTGACGAGCTAAAATTAAGGGATCTTGAATTTTTTTTCTTGTTTATAATTTTATATATAACTTATAAATATAAATATACAAAGTATGATAAATAGATCTCTGTTATAGTATAGCTAGATAAAAATCTCTATAATCATCCCTATGTGCATTGCCTTTTGGGCAGGTCATAGTCCAATTTAATGCATCGGAAAAAGAGTAGTTTTATTGGGTGCCTCACACAACTTACATTAGTTGTGTGAGGCTCCTTCTTGTCGCACAAATTTGTAGACCCCAATCTTACACTTCTAGGTCCACAAAAATCTGGGTCCACAAAAATGTAAGATAAAAAAGGTGCCTCATACAACTAGTATCAGTTATATGAGATACAAAATAAAATTTCCATCGAAAAATTAGAAGAAACTTTTTGTCGTTTAAGATGCGACTCTTCACGTCATTTTTCTGGTGAATACACCAAATTATATGCTACAAGTTTATGAAACCAGAAGAGGTCTTCTTTATAAGGGTGAGTTATATGTCAACTTTTTCACTCACACCCCAAGAAAATCTCGGCCAACTTTTTCACTCACCATCAGCAAAATCAAACCTTGCCTTACGTAAAATTGCCAAAATACAATTAAACTCTAAATTTGAAATCACTGCTTGTATATCAGCATTGGCCATGATTTACAAGAACATTCCGTAGGGAATACTAGAAAGGACTAAATGACGTGGATGAAGATCCTATGAATAACATCACGGAATTAAAGGTGTTTTTCTCCAAGTGAAGGCTTATTAAGAGAAGCTAAGAAAAAATAAAAAGAAAAAAAGAAAGATATTTCTTTTTAAATTACAGTTGGGACCTTAGCGCATGTTTGATTTTGTTGTTCAAGTATATTTTTGTTGTTCAAGTATATAATGATAAAGCTCGATAATCTTTCATGAGCCATAGAGCTGGGACCAAGTCTACTTCGACACTCAATTTTAGTTCTCCTTACGAGCAACCTTTGCATGTTTGTCAAAGTTGAATCCCGCGGCAATAAGTCTAGCAAAAACATTTACATGAATGAATTTGCTAAAATCTGGAATTCCTTTGATTTTGTAAGCTATATCGATGGAGAAAAAAGAAAATAGGAAGAAATACACCACATTGTTTATCACTAAATTGCAACCCACCAAATCGATTGGAACATGAAGATTGCAATATTAAACCTTTGCACTATAAGGTAAACGTCCATAGTTACAACATGACAGTAAGGTAGGAGAGAGGACATTTTCCCTTTACAGAGCTATACAGTGCGTCAGCTGCAAACAGAAACACCTCTCCCGACCCACCCCCTAAAACTCGCACCCCCTCCAGTGGGAAAGGAAAGCTCAAGCCAAGAAAGCTGCACTGTATGCTATCCCATAAGGAGACATTGCGAGGATGTGATTCACCAAGCTTCTCCTATATACATGTGTCTGTCTGTACACTTGACCTTCGACAAAAGGCCGAGAAAGGTGTTATGTACATGTATATATCTCGGGGTTCTCACAGGAATCATGTGTTATATAAGCAACCTATTCCCTCGACTGTTGCATAAGCTCAAACCACTGCATGAAGGAAACCAAGATCATGATCATTACTCACGTTGTCAAACAATAATCAGAAATTGTAAAAGAAATCTCAAAATGAAAGGAAGTGCTTCAATATTGTATTACAGTCACCTGTCTTAACAAATCAGCAAGCGTCCTAGGAAGTGCTTCAATGTTTTTGAGCACGACATAGTATGGGAATGGGAACGAATCCAAATACTTTGTAAGCTTAACTTCTCCACCCTGAAAGGTCGCTTCCTGGAAAAGGGTCAAAGAACCAATCACGCTGGAGAACTTTTCTTATTTCAAAAACCATGAAACAAACAAGATCAAGGACCTAATGAAAAAAAAAAACAAGTGGTTACCTCAAGGTCCAATATGGATTTCTGTAGGCTATCCACCACAAGAAACGCGACCATTCGCTTTTTGCTCATGAGATCTCTGACATAGCGTTTCATGTTCTCCTAGAGTAAAAGTAAAATAAAATGAGTATAAGAAAGATAGCAACTTCACCGACACTCGAGCAAAGAAATTTACCTTCTCGTGAAACCAGCCGTCAGCTATTATCAAAACGAGCTGCTCTAGCGGATTGTGCCCAGATGGTAGCCGTGCATTAACAGCAGCGGCGTCGAGCATGTCATTCAAGTACTTCAAAAGATCAACCATGGGTTCCTCTGCTATTGTGTTTTCTTGCTTAAAGGACAAACTAGAGATCATCTGTATATAAGGAAAACATCAGAATATATCGCTCAACTTTCATCAAAATAACTCAAACAATAGCTGGGACAAATGGTAGAAGCATGTGTGTGAATATAGACGAACCTTAATACCAGCCTCTCCAGTGAATGACTGATCAAAATCATGCAATATGCGAATGTTTCCCTTCTTACCAAAGCTGGCAACTGACAGCTGCCCTATTTCTAACTGAGACATTGCACGGCAAACAGTCACCAATGCTTCAATGGCTAAATGTCCACAACCACTCTCAGACATGCTGCGGGAGTCATCCACAGCAATAACCACTTGGTAGTTCCGTTTGTTAGGCCGAGTTCTCCTTAGCCATATCTTATCTTTACGGTAATGACTTGCTATGTATGGAATTACCTGGCAATAGATAGTACAAGATTAGAATATTATTCCTTCCAATAAAAAGGAAAAATGAATAACTAAAGATTACCTTCTTCATGTTAATTCTTTTCCCGGTCTTGTAATCTCCCTGGAGCTTGCTAGCTAAAGTCGGTTCCATTACCAAACGCAACTGTTCAGCCAACTCCTGGGACAACCTCGTAGTGCGAAGTTCATAATTTTTCCAGAGAGTTGCAGCATTCTTTCTCATCTCATCGGATACCTCTTCAAGGTTACGGGCCTTGCCTAGGTCGTCATCATCTACCGAGAGCTCGCTAAGCCGATTTATGTCCTCCACCAAAAAGGTCCTCTTCACTGAGACCAAACTCTGAGACAAACTAGTGACACCAGTATCATCTCTAGCATCAACTTCTGATGGTGATTCAGGTTGCTCCTCAGTGTCCATTATCTCTGATTGCTTGCCCTTGTCATTGCAGAAACTTAAAGCGGAATTACTAATAGTATGTGCTTCAGACAGCTGCCTCTCAATCTCCATTTCAGAAATGTCATCTTTTCTCTCTGTAGTTGCATTTTCCCCTTCCAGATCATTTCCATGTACATTTTTGTCTACTTGATCAGCAGTTGCTGGCCCAAGCGCTTGAGCTGTTCCCTTTTCAAATTCAGCAGTATATGAATATTCATTTGCATTTTCAGCAGCCATATCATCTGGAGCTTCGCTCTCCTGTAGGTCAAGTGAGACTTTGACTCTATCTTTCCATCCCTCGAGGGCATCACCCACACTACGACAAGGATTGGGCTGAATCCGTTGATGCGATGAATCAGCTGGAGGTAAAGGATTTTCAGGTTGATCACTGCCCAGCTTTTGGCCATTTGAAGAATCAGAAGCCATGATTTCAACCATAGAGGCATCAGGCAAACCTCTCATGGGAGCAAGGTCATGTTGAGGCCCACCAACATCAGATCCCTTCGCTTCAGGAGCTGCATCTTTCAAATTTGCTTGATTATATTCACCTCTAGGCTCAGATGCAGACACAGCAGTTGGGACATTATCACCCACAGAATGAGAAGTGTCCGACTGCAGGATCTTTCTATTTTGTTCTGCTGGTTCCTTTTTCGTGTCATCTGCATGATCACCTTCTTCATCAGCTCCTCCAGGATTTTCATCCAAATGCTCAGGGTCCGCCTCATCAAAAGTTGCATCTGAATCAGCTGTTTCACCCCCCTCATTCTTTTCCTCAGCAGGGTCACCTTGCTGGTTTAAATCATCTTCCACCATTGGTTCAGCAATCTCTGGTTCATCCATATTACAATCCTCTTCAGGACCTTGATCATGTTCGTCAGGCTTCAATCCAGTAGGATCTGCATATGCATCCTCTTTGTCCATATTTATGTCTTCCATCCCTTCGCAAGTTTCATCATTGCCATTTTCATCAGCTTGCTCCTCTAATATGTCGGGATTGAGTTCTCCTGCTTCATCAGCAGCTTCATCAGCATCATCTTTTGCTCGAAGCTCTCTGTTGATACCGCTGTCTTTTACTGATGGACCACTCTCATACTTTTCATCCATGGTACTGGGATTATCATCACCCTTGTCCCATAGTTTCTCATCAGCTACTTCACCCCGATCACCAGTCTCCCCCATAGCAGATTCCAGTTCTTCATTTTCTTCATTGCCTTCATCATCCGCAGAATCCTCACTTACACTATAGGTATCAGCAGCAAAATCTTGCTCCATCTCAATTCCTTTGTCAGTTTTACTTGGAGCCTCACCAAGAGTACTTTCTTCATCTCTCTACAAAAGCAGAACCAAGACGGTGTGATCCATACCATTGCTTTTATTGTAAATAAAGAGAAACAGATTGGAAAAAAGGGAGAAAAATGAAAGCAAGAGATAATTGGTATGCTTGTCATTTCTTACATCAGCGGAAGTGCCAATAAGCTGATCTTCATCATTTATCTGGTCGCTGACATCGTTCATTCCACTACCCTCACCCATACCTGTTCCACTTTGATCTTGAACTAAATCCTGGCTGGCATCATTTGTGTCCTCTTCTTTTGTACCAAAGCCTTTAGCAAACAGCGAAGTAAAAACGTTTGCCAGCACATGGGTCATCATAGATAGCTGTCAAAATCATTGAGAAAAGTTTACAAATAATGATTTGCGAAGCAAAGTACATATCAAAACAAAAGTAGGCTTGCAGATACAGTCTTTGCTAATGTCTTCTAGTCCAGAAAAGTGTCTGAACCAGAATGCGTAAAACTGATTTTATTAGTAAACTAGTCCAGCTGCTTAATTGGATGTGCGTGTTCTTGATAAATAATCCAGTCCCACTTGGTGAAAGTCAACCTAGCTATCTTACATAACAGAGGAACTCCCCATTTCAAAAAGTCCTTTTGCTCTACACTGATATGCTAAGTTCTCATAAACATAGGATATATATATATATATATATATATATATATAGTAACACATTCTTACTACCTGCACACGGTACCATTGATACTTTATTACCTTGTAAGTTATAACCGATTGAAATCCTTATAAAGGTTGATCTGAATGGATGACAATATTATTCTCTCTTTTTGAGGCATACCAGACTCCGAAACTAACACCAATTGGATAACACTAAGACAGAATAGACATATCTTTCTTTCCTATGTAGTAGTTTAAGCTTTAGATACTCATGTCTACTTTGAACTCATTCTCAATAACACATATACCCATATTACCTCCTAATTCTTTTATTGGCATATAAGTATTTTAAGAAAGGTTGAGGCTTTTATAGAAGAAGAAACTCAACGAAATAATATACAAAGCAGCCCTAATTAAAGCAAGAGGATGAATCTTCTGATAGATTCAGATCTTTAGTATTTTTCTTATTTCTTTTATCAGTACCCACTCACAAGGATTTCTTAAAGAAAAAGGAGAAGTGCACACCCTCAGATTATTGCAGTTTAACAAATCCCTGCTCTTGACTGCATCTAATCCAACATCAACATTGATTGAACACCCCTACATGAACCAGTCAATCTGGCCATGAAGTTCCTAATTCAACCAGGCTACCAAATTACTCTTTTTTAAGTGAGGTAAAAAAATAACTCTAGTAAAGGAAGAGAAAAAGGAAGGGGGGTTTTTTTTCTTTTTTTTTTTTTTAGGGGGGGGGGGCTATGGGAGGAAAATTGATCGGAAGAAACAGCCCACATATGTAACAAGCAAACATATAAGCACACATCAAGCAGATAACCAAGAACAAGGACAGGCCTCTGCAAAGAACACTATCATCCTATGCATGACAAGAAAATCATGCAGAAGACCATCATATAAGGCAAACATAACATCAAAGAATGAATAAAGATTTTTCTAAAAGGGTGCTATGGGAAGAAAATTCGGAAGAACCACACCATGTATTGACATTAAGCACAAAACAAAGAGAACCAGAACCAGGACGGGACAATCAGGCAAAACTTACCATTCTATGCATGATAAGAAAATCATGCAGAAGACCATCGCCAAAGGCAATGATCACATCCAACAATGAATACAGATTTTCTATGTGTGCCCTGACAACCGAATAGGAACTCGCATTTCCAGTGCTGTAATAGTTCAATAACTCTCCCTGAATAAAAATGAGAGAATCAGAATTGGAAGCTGGTATTCGTACCTGACATAGAGTGAATAAGATCATATATTACTTACCCCAAGATGAATAGTCTTCACCATTTGATCACTAAGGTCTGATTGTAGATGCCTTGTTGCTGACTCGAGGAGAATTTTCCATGCATTGATATTCTCTTCATCAGGAGGAACACGACCATTCGTCAAAGGCACAAGACCATTCAAAGTGTTCATGATAGCTCTATATGTATTCTCCAAGGTGTTATAAAATTCAGCTTGAAGTCCAGTGATATCTCCCGTATATTGGATGGAATCTTGGGCCCTATCTTCAAATGTGTTTCTTGCTTTAAATTGATTATGTATGAAGTTGGTCTGAAAGGTTAAAAGTTCCGGTCATTGGAAAACGTTGTGCAGCAAGTAATATATGTAACTTTAATCTAAATATCAACATTAAACACTTAAGAATTATTTGATGACTTGTCAGCAAAATCAGTTTATGATTCTCCAACTGTTTAGAAGTTACTGTCAGTAAAGCATAGAGCATTGTGAGACCTTGTCAAATATCTCCTCAAAGTGCCCAAGCAGGATATCCTTAACAGCTGCTCCAGCTCCATCTCGCCGATGGAAAGCACGATAGTCAACCTCAAATTCTTTGACTAAATCAAAATTCTTATATACCAACTGCTCCATGTGCTTCGTGATGGCAATAGGATGCAATGCATTTTCTTCCGTGCTTCTAACTCCATGAAAGCCAATAAGATGACCATCCAACAAATCCTGCCATATATTCCCATAACTAGTTAGTGCAACTGACATCTGTACAGCATGCCCGAGTGTATTAAGAACCAGACTGGACAGAAATCTGTTTTACAAGGGACAAATAAAAGAGTCTGAAACCTTAGATTCCTTAACAACGGGCAAGTGTTTCTCAATGAAAAGGCGAATCTGCATTGTGCTGTCTTTAACACTTGAACAAGTATTCAAATGGCTATCTTCAACAGTTTGTACAAACAAGCGCTCTTCATACAACATGCCATACAAATTATCAAAAAGTTGCTGCAAAATTAAAATTAAACTGTTAATTACCCATCAAAATAAGAAGAGAGAGGGAATTTAAACTCAGACAAACAAGTTAGCGTACCTTCTGTTGCCATAGACACTCATATATGCTGTACTGATTTTTGGCAAATGACCGATCACTTCTCACATTTGTGAAAGGGATATCACCAGTAGTTAAGGTTGCTAAAGGCAATAACAATTCTTTCAAACATTTGAGTCGCTGAGAAAAAGCATAAGCAACCTCCCGCTGCTCTTGTTGAATGCTAGTGAGGTGGTCAATGTAAGATCCTGACTTGTTAACCTGCATTACAAGATAGTGAGACTACAACGAAGAATAAGGTACAAATGCTAAAACAAAAATAACTCAAAGCAAACAAATAACAAAAGGAGCACGTAAATTATAAGAAGGGAATGTTTTACATGGGGTTTTACATGGGGTTTTACATGGGATTTGACATCATTAAATTCAACAACAGCTCAGTCCAAATTAGCTGTAATCAGCTTTAAGAATATGCTGCATCCATTACACACTATTTAGGTACTTCAGCAGTCAGGATTCATCATAGTTAGATATTTTGTGTATGTTGGCTTCAACCTATCACAACTATCCTCCTTTATTCAACCAAGATAGTAGAATTGAAATGAAAGTCTCATTTTTTGAGTAACATCTTAACTATGTTACCTGCTCAAGAGTAAAATCCTTATGGAAACTCAGGCAAATTTGCTGCAAAACATGCACCGAGTTTATGCTCTTAAAATAGTACAGGTTGGCTGTTTTCCATTTGGTTTCCAAACTCTCATCTAGTAAACTCTGCAGCTGTCTGCCACTAACTTCAGAATCTCTAGAGGCTGGTAGACCTTGTGTTAGCAGGAGATGTTGAACATCATAAGATGGCTGGAGGAACCAGCACATTAATATATTGACTCTCCATTGCTCCTGTACACAATGAAAAGGATATCAGAACAAGATCTAGAAGAGATCAAAAGCTCGAAATGAAAATTTACAACAAAGAAAAATTTCAGTCGAAATGAAAACTTGGATGATCCTGTTCAAGTAAGGTCATGAAAAAAAAGGACTTGGATGAAGAAATGATGGCGAATAAGGACAGGAACATTTCGGAAGACCATGGACCAAATTATATTTACCTCCATAAACAAGGCTCTGTGCTTTGATAGACCACAGCTATCCAACAGCTTCAGAAGATCTGAGAATACTCTTCTCTTCCCCATTTTCTTGCTTGCATCCGCCCAAACATCTACGCAGTCAATAATAGTACTACATATTTTGTCAATTGTTTGCCTGAGTTGCTTCCACTCATCCAGGTATAACAGGCATGAGGACTTGAAGCACTGACCATCCCTGATTACACCTGCAACCCCTGGATTTATTTTGAAGTATGCAACTTTCAGAATCTTCAACAAAAGGAAATAGGGAATGCTATGCCTGAACCAACACACTTAAGGAAAAGAAGAGAATAAACCTTCTATGATCCTAGACAGATCAGTATCTCTTGATACGTCGAGGTGCAAACCTTGTACGACATTCTCTACTTTCTTCCACCAATCAGAAAACCATGAAGGGCTGTTGTTGAAAAGAAGGAAGTTAATAAGACTCAATGAAACTAATTAATAGACATCAATACGGAGTCAAGACCACCTGTCCACTTCTGACTGCTTCTGATCGAGGACAATATTTAGAAGACCCCTGCTCCTTTCAAAAGAATCAACCAAGAGACTAGGATCATTACTTTGAGGGTGTATCCCACTTTCTGTTGCTTCTTGGTTGATAAAAAGCATAACAGGTTGCTGAAGCAGGTCCTACATAAATAAAGCAAAATGCATGAGAAATATTTACATAAGACTAGTTATTTAATTGGCAACCATACCACAGGTAGTTGCTTTATAATGTTGAGATAATTTGATTTGGCAATTGTATTCCATGTACACAAGCTCAAAAATAAAATTAAAAAAATTAAATACCCAAAAAAAATGTTAGCAAGAAATAGTTAGAAAGTTAAGTTTAGTTGCATAGCGGCGTAGCAGAAAATTGACATCATAGTCTACCACAAAAGTAGATTCTAAAGTGCAAGATAGTGAAGTACAAAATCTGAGTAATGGGTGCTTAATTGAATGTACAAGTAGAAAGTGGAAAAGAGAGGCAATAAGAACAGAACGGAACACCTGAGTTAAGTGTTAACTACTAAATTTTCATGACACAATAGGAAATCCTCAGGCAAAGCTATCTAAACTCAAGCCAGAAGGACACGCCTAACACAGGTTTATTCTAGTCCCAATAGTGAAGCAACAAATGTAGAGACAACTCCCATATCAACAATTCAACTTTAAGATGAGTCAATAAAAAATAGTACGACTCACAGTGTATTTCTGCATGATCTTTCTGAGCTTCTGCCTGGTTCTCCTGGAGCTTTCTATGCTCAAGTAATCTTCAAGGCGTTCCCATCTGCATAGCTTAACAAGCTCATTGACCTCTTCCTCAATCTTCCTTCTTTTAGTTCCAATGTGCTCCAAAATCCTTGCCCAAGAGAAAGACAGAGGAAAAGTTAGAGAAACAAGAAATATCACTTTAACTAGACATGATAGAAAAGAGCTTTAAGTGTAATATCAAGTTTCCTAATGCGGCAGTAGAGAACTCACATTGGCAAGAATTGAGCATAGAAGCCAAAGGTATTGTAGAGGATTTTAATAGTTTCCTCCAGATGAAGGCTGCACAATGTTTACCCAATCAGCATTTTCAACTCTTCATATACAGAAAAGTACACAGCTTGTGCATGATAACCATGTTTCATCGTACCATATATCAGCTTGAAATTACAGAATTTAAGCACACTCAAATACATGGAACAAAACAAATTTCTCTACCTCGAATAGGTTCCATTCCTTAAACCAGTACTAATATGCCCATGAAAAGCCAGCAGGAGCTGAAGGCGCTTCTTAAACTCACCGATGCTGGACATCTCAGTAAACTCCTTCAGGCTGAATGTTTGACAAGTATTAGCTAAGAAAAGGTAATGAATTTTGAGATAAAACTAAGAGAGTACATGCCTTCTAATTGTAGATAGGTTGTATTCATCAGTCTCACCACACTGCCCACGTCGAAGGACTGAATATAGTGGGAACCACAACTGCAGTTTGAGGGTTAAAATCAACATATTGTCCACGGAAAAAGTAATCCAACAATCTCAACTGCAAATACTGCAATTTGATAACACCCAGAAGACTCTGCAACTGTGGGAAGAATTAAGAAACGTAGATGCACAGATAAAGAGATCATAAGCCCACCAAAAGGTTTACTATAGATGAAGTTCACTTGCCTACAAGCACCGTGATGTGCTCTGACCTAACGGTTAGGTTATATATACATATATTTATTTTGTTTGTTTGGCAACCTACCAGCCTCGAACTCTTGACCTAGTGGCAAGAAGAGGACTCTCTCAACCACTATGAACAAGAATGGCCAGTAAACCTAACCGGTTAGGTTAAAATCAGATGTGTTTAAGCCACCAAACTTAAATAAGGAGGTCTTTCTGATAACTACTGACACTGCACAAGACAATCAAAAATAAAAGAGAACAAAGTGGATTCCATTTGCCTTCAAAGACTTGGGAGAAATAATTTCTTAATAGATACCAATACAGAAACTTCAGAAAATCAAAATTCCCTCTTTGAGTTGGTGAGGTTGCTATAGGTCTTGATTTTCAACAACCTAAACACTTCATATTCAAGCCAGTTCTTTTTTCAGATAAAGACAGCGCCCGGGCCCAAACTTGCGTGCACCTCCACTAATTTTTCCAAAAACCTGCTACCTCCCACCAGCACAGATTACCGGGTAACTCTGTCCACCAAGTTAGTTTCTAAAAAGGGGGGGGGGGGGGGTGGGGGGGGGGTGATCGACGGGCGGA